ATATATAACTGACGCATGGGTGTGTTCTTATGCGAGTGTATATAGATACACACAGTTGAATTATATCATTATGCATGCCTGCTGTGTATGTATAGTATATCTGACTATATATAACTGACGCATGGGTGTGTTCTTATTCGAGTGTATATAGATACACACAGTTGAATTATATTATTTTACATGCCTATTGTGTATGTATAGTATATCTGACTATGTATAACTGACTCGTGCATGTGTCCGTAGGCGAGTGTATATAGATATACGCAGTCTGTACGAACGGAATATACGCCTAAGAGAAAAAACTCGCATGTTGGTACCATCACTCTTATTACATATATCAATACATATACGTGCCGATTGACAAAATGCCGCATTCGATACGTGAACGCGTTTGTTCTGTCCAACGAATATGCTTGTGCTTTCTCATTCAGTGGTCTCCGCTAGGCTCACCGTGCTACAGTCGCGTGACAGCTGTCGGTGATCTAATTGCGTATCTACGGTACATAGGCATGGTAAGTATCTATGTCCGTGTATGTAAGTGTATTCCTATACTTGCATCCAGACATGGTACGCCCCTACGTCCATGTATTTATGTGATTTGTATACTGGCATCCCTGCACTTCACGCGCGGGTGGTCATTTGGTGTATATTTTCGCACGCGTACTTCGCCATATGCCTCTCAATAGTACACTCGACTAATTGTTATATACCCCTAAACCCTAAACCTATACTCTGACCCGTAAACCCCTAAACTCTAAACTTTATACCCTAAAACCCTAATACCCTAATACCCTATAACCTGAACCCTGAACCCTATACCCTGTACAGGGCATCAACAAGTCCTCCGCCGGGGTGATCTTCCAAGACATCGTCAGCAAGTTACTGCACATTTCTGCCACACGCCTTGGCATTCCGACCGCAAACAACCACAAAGTCGGCACATGACGCAACAAGGAGGCATACGCTACTGATAATGAATACCGAATGTGCGTATTACAAATACTCGAAGGAACGCTACGGTTGAGGATTATATACTTCACAAACGTTGAGACAATGTCACCTGACCCACTACTGGGAGATACGCCGCTGGTGCTATCACGTATACGTACAAGTACTCGAAGAAACGCTACAGTTCAGTATAGTAGGCTTCGCACACATTGAGACAGCGTCAGCCGGCTCACTACTGGGATATACGCCACTGGTGCTATCACGTATACGTACAAGTACTCGAAGAAACGCGACGGTTCAGTATAGTAGGCTTCGCACACATTGAGACAGCGTCACCCGGCTCACTACTGGGAGATATGACACTGGTGTTATCACATATACGTACAAGTACTCGAAGAAACGCTACAGATAAGCATAATAAGCTTCGCACACATTGAGACAGCGTCACCCGGTTCACTACTGGGATATACGCCACTGGTACTATCACATATATGTACAAGCACTCGAAGAAACGCTACAGATCAGTATAATAAACTTCTAAAACATAGGGACAGTGTCACCTGACCCACTATTCGGAGTTACGCCACTGATACTATCACGTATACATGCTCAACGTTCCGCTACGGGTCAGTCTATTTAATAAAGCAACCATACACGTTTAATACAACAGTTTATTTATCACGTACAAAGCAAACTTTCACTCTTGGCCTGGAAGCTTACAAGCAGAGCATCCAACGAGGCCTATATCGCATGCACGCCGAGATGCCCTTTTGCACCACCTCGGCCGCGCAAACATACAGCCAGCACCCGACCCAGCATTGAAAGTGGCACAACTGATACTGTTGAACGTACACGCACCCAAAGTTCAGCATCGGACTCGCAAGGAACCCAACCAGTTTATTATATCACATATACCTACCGAGACTTACGCCAAGGCGCAGTATATTAACATTAAAGGTACTAACGACGAATATATATCACTGTCAAATTGAACATCTCGGCTTTTAATAATTACATCCCAGCTCAAGTCCATGGAGTCCACATACAGTTCACCGACGGTATAAAATATATCTGCCAGGACAGTATAGTTTGATGCACTCCAAGATTTCTTGTGGTTGATGACAGGGTCGTTGACATAGCTGAATGCATATGATTCTGTGCCGGTGCATATGTGCAATGCACATTTATATGCAAATCTGCGATTGGGTATGTATACCTAGTATGAGCTATCCCCCTTGTATTAATACATAAATGCCATCCATTCCCGGACAAACAAAGCTGTACAGCACCAACGAGTCATATGACTTAGGGGTGTGCATGTACATATTCGGTAGGCACCTATGTTGATTGTCCACGATTTTGTTCTTCACTTACATTTGTATTATTGGTTATTTCCATACTATGTATCTCATAGTAATGTATATTAAAATTTGATGGTATCGTGTTCCCGAGCTATGAATTGTTCACACAATTCGGCACAAAGTTTATTTTCAGCGAAATAACGATCAAACAAAGTGAGCATTTTTACTCTGGTACATGCTATATGTAATAAGTCAAAGTCCAATGGAATTTCAAAGATATGTATGGAATGTGTATGAGCAATTGTTATGAATTGAGCACCAATGAATATGTAGAAATTGAACGAGAAGAGCATTTTTAAGAAAGCTTAGCATAACATTATTTATCAGAAAGACATAAATAAGGTATGCGTCTAGTTTTATATTGTGATAATACACAATCCTATGTTGCCATTACGTGGTCCTAAGACAGCGACAAAGGAGGCAAGAATATATGATGCAGAAAAGGCAAGTGAGTAGACAAACTTGCCATAGTTAGCATGAATGATCTATTTGAAGGAACTTTTGCCATGATTGGCATTGGCCAATGTGAACACCTGCTTTTCTATAATTGGTATGAATCTCTAAACGAACAGGAGAATAGAGTCATATTATCATTAATGCTTTGCAAGACTCTTCGCTGAGAATGCCTTATCAGCTTGTTCGCGTTAGAGGTACAAGTCCTCAGCCGAAGAACCCCTTCACCGAAGAACCCCTCTAAAACCGTGTGGGCGTGCTACGCGTTTGGACCGGCAAACTTGCCAACTGCAATGGAATTGTCGCCCTGTGCGCGGTGCCCGGCCCCAAACCCGATGGCAATCGTGTCGTGTCCCTGGCTTGTTTTGCCGGCCTTCTGACCAATGCTGATGGAGTTGCGTCCCCGTGTGTCCTGGACACCGTTTTGTGTGCCCACACTGACGCTGCTGGGTTCAGTCAGTTCTAATTTACTCAGCGTGCTTGTCTCGGCGTGTGTGTTTGTGAAGATTCATATAAATTTGGGCGTTTCAAATTCAAATTCGTTTTTTGTGCGTTTCAAATTCAGATGAACTTTAGCGGTGAATGCACGACGGCATTGCGCCGGTTGGCAAATACCTTTTCTGCACGATCGAGACGCGCGTCGACGATCGTGTGTTTGTATATTGACAGCACAAACATGAGTGTATTTGTAACGCCCACAGCCAGCTGCGCATTTTCATTGTATAGCACAAAAATCACACAGTGAAAATGGCGTGTTTCCACACAAATCCCGTGCGGCCAACGGTATTTTTTTTTTTAATTCGGCGAGACATCCGGGGAGGGAGTTTGTGTTATGTAGTAAACCCTATGTAGAAGTGATCGTATAATATAAAAAAGAGAGGCCTTCGAAACGTTAAGTTGTTACAAATGAGTACACTAGGTGACACTGCCAGTGCTGCAACGACCGACAAATAGGTGCTGGGGATACTAGTGCTGTTTGACATTGAGAAGTTTCCCAGCTCCGGCAATTGGTCGTCAGTGGCCAGTTCAAGCCGTACGAGTTAATCCCGAGCTCGCCCGAAGTCCAGAGTATGGGCGTTGGTGAAGAAATGGTACCGCGATGTCTACATTTGTTCAAGTATGAAAACGGACAGACTTGCCCCAAGGTCTCGTTTGAGCTGGCCACTATTTTGAGCGTGATTCCCAAGGAGCTGTGTGTCCTGGATGCAGTACAGTATTTTATGCATTCGCTCAAGTCGTGGGATCTCGCAAACTGCGTGCAGGTCATTGTCACGCGCGGCCTCGTCGACGAGACTAGTGGTGCCCCGATCACGTTTGAAGGCAACGAGCTAGAGTTGCTCTGAGTAATTTTTTATTTCGACAGTCCACGGAACGGACTCGTTTCGTCAGAATTTTGAAATCGAGCGTGTATTGTATATTGTGTGAGTATACACGTGTATAAATAGTTTGTGTTTCTCACATAATTAAGTCACTTTGACACATGTACAAAAACACAACATCTATAAAAAAAACAAGCACTGTGTATCATGCAGTTAAAGCCAATTCTCAGCAAGACGCAGATGAAATCTGGGGACGTTTCTGCGTTACCAGTCACCGAGCTGCCCGCGATCGAGACTGTAGAGAGCGATGGTGTCCCGCGGTTCTGGCAAATTGCCGTCCGTGGCAACACGTACTTTACCACGTCGTGGAAACAGGATGGTAACAAGGTCGTGCATGCACCAGTCACCGTGACGGGTAAAAACATTGGTCGAAGCAACAAAACGAGTCCTCGTCAACAGGTCATTCTCGAGGCACAGCGCAAGTGGGACCAGAAACAACCGTCAAGCCGATGCTGGCCCAGAAACTGGTCGAGAGCCGCCTCACATACCCCGTCGACGTGTCCCCGAAGCTCGACGGCGTGCGCATGCTCAGCAAGCGCGACAAGGGAGTGAAAGGGGTCGAGCTCAGCTCGCGCGCTGGGAAGCCCTTTAGCAACTTAGACCACATCCGCGCCGCTCTTGTGGAACTCATTCCGGACGCGGATTCCACTGCAAGCTGTACACTACCGGCTTGTCGTTTAACGAGCTGTCAGATATTGTCTGGGCGAACGGCGTTTCCGAGAAGGCCGGACGGGTCCACTTTTACATCTTTGACATTGCGTCAGATCTGCCCTACATTGATAGCGCAATCCAGCTCGCAGAACTCGAGTCCGAGGTGCGCAGGCTAGGCTTGGATATGCTAAAGTTTGTGCTGTACACGTCCGTTGAGTCGTTCGAGGAGATTCGGTGCATGCACGACGAGTACGTCGGCGAGGGCTAAGAAGGCACGATGGACCGCAACATGAGTGCGCCGTACAGGTACACGCGCACATTTGACCTCATGAAGCTCAAGGATTTCCTGGACGACGAATTCAAAATTGTGCACGTGAACGAAGGCACGGGCGTGGACGAGGGTACGGCCGTGGACGAGGGTACGGCCGTGCTGATTTTCGCGACCGACGACGGCCGCCAGTTCAACGTCAGACCCAAGGGGACGCTGGCGTTTAGAAGCCAGCTGTGGCAGGATCGGAATAAACTGCCCGGCAAAATGCTGACGGTACATTACCAGAAGACGGGCATCGACGACGTATCTACCCCGATTTTAGGTCGGGGTTACGATTCGTGACTATGAGTTTTTTTTTTTGGCGAGGTGCCGTTTGCCGAGCGACGCGACCGGTGCATGCACAAAAGGGTGGTGAACTTGCTGCGCCAGTACCAGCTGACTAAATCGCTAGCCGCGCTGGGTATTGGGGTGGCGCTATTTGGCAGATGACACGTTTTGCTGTGCGTATGAACAGAACAGGTGGAATATGCCCGAGATCATTGCTGCGGTGGAAGCACATGCGGTAGTAAAACTGGGCGACTTTCCAGTACAATGGCCGTGGTTAGACGTGTAAATTTGACGGTGTAGTCGTGACTAGGATTTCAATAATAAATATGTTTTTTCAAATTGTCTTACAGCGAGTGCTTTTTTGGGAATATTCTAAAAAGTAAATTTTCGTATACAATAAATTATGACACATTTTCAACCGTGTTTTGATTCGCGCTTGGAAAGGACAAAAATAAAATACTTTCGTGACAAGTATGGCCTTGTGGCAGCCACCCTCAGACGGTGGCATGTTGCCGGTCGAATCCGAGCTATCCAATCATCCGCCGGTGGCAAGCGATTCTACTACACCGACGACGTCTCTCGGACGCTTACAGATGTCATAGTGGGTTCCCCGAAAGAAAAAGAGAACAACATCGACGCCAGAGTCAGCAGCAGCAAGCAATCCGGAGACCTCGACCGCCAGGTCTCAGATTTGCAGTGCGCGTTTCCAGGCTACCGTGTTGTTCGAGAGATTGCGAGCAGCCTCAACTTCAAGCGGACCGGCCTTCATGCCATTCTCAGACAGGCTCACCAGGGACTGGTCGACACATTTGCCATTACCAACAAAGACCGCTTTGCTAGACTCGGATTTGAAATCTTGGACCTCTGGTTTCAAGAATGCGGCGTCAAACTCTGGTTCACGGTAATGTTGAAATTGCCGGCTCATCAGACACTGAATTTACCGAGGACCTCATCTCCGTTGTCACACTGTTTGTCTCGTCTCATCACGGGAAGCGTAGCGCAGCAAACCGCCACAGACGAAGGGATCTACGTGAAGCGCCGACGGACGGTGAGAGCAAAGAAGAAGCGTAAAGTCGACGAAATTGAAGGTAACGACGATCGAGCTGATGACGTGGAGGACCTTGTGCGAAATCGGGAGATTCGCATCCACCCGACCCCGGATCAACGAAAATGGCTCGATCGAAACCTTGGTGTCAGCCGATGGACCTACAACCAGTGTGACAACATTTGGAAGATGAACCGGACGGAAATGCCTTCTTTTTGCCTAAAAAAAACCTCATTTTTATTCACCGATTGCAAAATCACCTTCCTTTTTTACCATTCTCAAAATCACCTTCTTTTTGGACCATTTTGAAAATCGCCTTCTTTTTTTTTCGGGGGGTTTTTTTTTGTCGTTGTTGGCAGGGGAGGGGGGAGGCTCTGAGCCCTTGCCAGCGAGCCGGGGTCTGAGACCTGGACGAGATCGACTGAAATAGTTTATACTTTTTTTTTGTTCATCAATAAAAAAAATGCTCGAGGTATACCAAACCGTGTCCGACAAGCTCCTTTCAAAGATCTTGCGTTCGACGTCGGACGGCCGTAATATTATTTGCCGTAAGGCGCTCACAAATGAGCAAGTTGAAAATTTCATCCGCACCGGCAACATGTTTGTCGTGAACTGTGTCAACGGCAAATTATGTGGTTTTGCATCTGTAGAATCTGAAGACGGGCTTGCGATATTCAACCTAATATGTACAGAGGTACGAGGTGGCAAGGCGATAATTGACTTTATAGTCAATGCATGTAAGATGCTGTACGTTGAAGAGCTCATGCTACATGCTCTCAATGACGAGCTTATACCGTTTTATGAAACCAATGGATTTGTGAGCTCACCAGATGACCGGCGCGAAATGACCATGGTTTTCTAATAACTGTACATATTTTTCACGTATAAGAAAAATAGAAGATGGCGACCTTGAACATCTTTGCTATGATATTTTTGCTCCTCGTGGTGGTTGGGGCAGTAGTTGCGCTCGTATATTTTACGTCCACCACTGACGACACGACCACAACCGAAACAACGACTACGGGCAGCACCAACACGGCCGCAGACTTTACTACTACTACTACTACTACTACTACTACTGGAGCACTGACTAACCGATCATGTACTACTACTAGTGGTGGTGGCGGCAATCGTCGAATGCCGCGCCTTGGGCTCGGTGTGTACGCTGGACAAGAGGCCAAGGGGCTGGATGTGGGCTTTGAGTGGAGATACTACAGCATGGCCGAGCTCAGCAGCCCCACCACCAGGGGCGAGTACGACTGGACGACCCTGGAAAAGGATCTGGCCGGCGCCAAGTCCCGTGGCCGGCCAATGGTCGTGCGGATCCAGGACCAGAGTGTCACCAACTCGGGTGACTACCAAAAGTCTTTACTGCCCCCGTACGTGAGCCAGCCGAACAAGTTTGTGGGTGTGGACTGGTCGTCCGCGGACGTAAAGCAGTTTGAGCTCTAATTTTTCACGGCGTTCGCGGCCAAGTTCGATAAGGAACGCGGATAGCGTACCTGCAAGCGGGCTGGGGGTTCTGGAGCGAGAGCCACCTGTACCACGACGGCACCAACTATATCAAGCACGGGGTCAACTATCCTTCGAAAGAGTACCAGGCCAAGTTTGTGGACCACTTTGCCGGCCTGTTCAAGTGTCTGACGTTTTCGTTTAGCATCGACGGCGCGCTCAGCGGACTGCCCCTGGACGATTTGAGGTACGGGGTCTTTAACGACTCGTTGACAGCCAAGGGTAGTAGTAGCCAGGACACGTACTATACGAAACTGAATTTTGCGGAGCGCAACAAGACCCGGCCAAGCGGCGGCGAGTTCCCCGACTCGATCAAGACGCCGTTTGGGATGCGGCTCTCCTGGAACGAGTCAAAAAGTACAATGTGCAGTACGTGTTTGCGAATCAGGCAGCGCGAGGACCCGAACTGGGACCAGGCCGTGGCGGCGGTGATGCAAACGTGATAAATATAATAATAATAATAATAATATTAATAATAAAAATAATAATAATAATAATAATAATAATAATAGTAATAATAGTAATAATAATAATATTAATACTAATAATAATAATAATAATAATAATAATAATAATAATAGTAATAATAATAATAATAATAATAATAATAATAATAATAATAATAATAATAATAATAATAATAATAATAATAATAATAATAATAATAATAATAATAATAATAATAATAATAATAATAATAATAATAATAATAATAATAATAATAATAATAATAATAATAATAATAATAATAATAATAATAATAATAATAATAAATAAATAATAATAATAATAATAATAAAT